ACAAATATGGCGTCCATTTAGCGTCTGCTTATTGTTCCGCCCGCACGTGGCGCCCGCACCCGCGCCCGTACCCTCGCATATTTGCTCACATTTAACAGATTATTTTGTCAACGTTCTTAAACAGTTTTGTTTTTTTTTATTTTGTCGGGGTACAAGGAAGAGCAACAGACATTTGAGCGACGTCCAGTGTGCTAGGTAACCCAATCTAAATTCCACTAGTAATTTATGGGGCTGGTGTTCCAGGGTGCACGCTTGTTGCTTTTGACTTATGTATTCCTTTTGCGGCTGGTATTTGGTCTGCCAACCAACAACAAAGTAGAAACAATGTTCTGGCAACTTCCTGTTTCCTCAATGCGGCGCCGTCGGTACGCAAATTTAACAAAAGCAGCAAAAGGAAGCCAGCAACAACCTTTTCTCATTTCCTTTGAGCGCCGCGCACACACATACACACAAACACGCACGCGCTCACTTGTTGCTGTAGACGTTACCTTTTGCAAAAAGCAATTTCATGGCATTGCTTTTAAGCAGGAGGCCGCATCGACAGCGACAGTGACAGCAACAAGGCTGGCCCCAGCTCTGATTGGCCGCCTATTCACTGTCCCTCTCCTAACCGTATTTGATTTTGACTACAGACACACACACGCACACAAGCACACAGCTGCACAAGCTCTTTCTACAGCTTTCGCTGCCGCCTGTTTGTCTGTTTGAACGCATTACAAATTTGGCCTTTATTTGGCCCGTGCTAGCCATAATCAAGAAAAAAGACTTGCCATTAGGGCACATCAACTAGGCAAAACGGCTTGCCACATTGCTTACATAACCTCATTTTCAATTTAATGCAAGCCACTCAGTGTGATAAAACAAAAACAAATTATACATACGCAGCTTGCAGCTATTAATACTATTAATGCGTACGTACTCATTTCTGTTGCTTACATTCTTACTCTCAGCTAAGGTTAAGCTCGTAATTTTATTTGCTGTTCTCACACTGAGCTGTGGTCAAGCTTGTATTCGCAAAACGTGTTCTCACTCTCAATTGTGGCAAGACTTCCTCTTATTAGTAGAAAGCAGGAGTAAAGGATAAACGGTAAAACAAAACGATTAGCACAATCTGTAATTAGTAAAGCGTGCGTGCAGCGAAGCTACTTGTGTCCGTTTAATAAAAAAGACATAAATCTATTTTGAAGTAGCGCAATGTTAAACTAATTATATCCAAGTAAGAAGTTTTAGCAGCTGGTAATCAATTGACAAGGTTTTTATTAATAGGTTCGCATAATTTGCTGAAAATGACAGTTCTCTTGCCTATGTGAGGTGCGCGTGGTAATAGTAATCGATAGCGCTATCGGTATTTTTTGTGCTACAATATGTTTATTGCAGAATATGCAGATCGTTCCGTGTACTGACCACATATTAAACGATATTACAATGTTACGCGAATGCCTTATCGATATATGTAGTCGCGCAATGACATTGTTGCCGATTGGGAATAGTCATTAGACAGTTGCACCAATTGTAAAGATCATAAAGTGCAAGAGACTAATTTAGCAATACAGCATGAACTTATAACTAATTATAAAATGGTAAGTCAATTTGGACTGTGTATTTGCTTACTGTTAATTTTTACGTTTCTAAGCAAATGCTTCAGTGCATTCACAAGTCGCCATTTTTTTTGTTTTAACTTTCGCTTTTGTGACGTCAGTTGTTTTATTTGCCGCCTGCGTAGCGGCTCGTCGTCTGTACAAATAATCATACTTCAAAGGCTATAAATCGTTATTTAAATTTAAATTTTTTTATATTTTAACATTGCTTAAAGTTTCATTCTGTAAATACCAGTTGCCAGTTTTATTCTTGTTATTGTTATTGTTGTTTGGCGGTTTCTTTGGCAATTTGCACAGAGTAATATAAAGTATGCTTTAAAACAAATTTCAGCTTATTTGGTTATGAGTCCCGCGTGTGCTGGCTTTAAGCGCGAATATTTCTTCATAATACTTTGTATGCCTATGTGTGTGTGTGTATGGCTGCAGGTGTAGCGGCATCTATGCCTCGGATTGGCTGGCCAGCTGGAATTCCTGCCTGTGTACTATATATATTCTTGACTACACTAATACACACACACACACACACTCATAGAGCTACACACACAAGCGCAGTTGGGGTTCTATAAAATTGTTGTATGCTTTGGCATCCTTTTTGATCCTCTCCGCTGCCCTGCAAATCCCCTTCCGACAAGGGCTGCCGTTGAGGAGCAACTAATCCGTTAGAAGGGTTCAGGATATCAGCTGATACCGTTATCTGCCTTGTTACAAAGCTTCAAAGCTGTTTAATCTAACAGTAAATACAGAAATATGATTTTAGATTTGAAAATTCAAATAAAGTAAAGTGTGTAAAGAAAAAGGGAAACTCATATTACGGAAAACTGAGGATTTTTAAATTGATTTTATTATTTTACAAGCGTTTAGAGCGCTTTAAGCATACAAAGATTAAGAAATATGTTTTTCTAAAAGTTTTTATTTAGTTTTCCTTACGCTTTGGGATAAAATGGTTTTAAAAAGATATATTCGATAGATAATAAAGTCTTTTGGGTTTGGACCACCCAAAATATACATATTTTTATCCCTATTTACATGTGAGTCTAAAGTATAAACTAAGATCTTTTGATTAACACCCTTTAAAATCCTTTAATTCGGTAGTTCATATAGTTGGTTTTTTTAATGATGACATGTCGAGACATTATTATACTTATGTCTAGCTCGAGTCAGCGCCATCTGCTTAACTTCACACCGTCGTGTCATTGTCTCGTCTCGTAGTGATTCGAAAGAAATTTGCGGATTTAATTGGACGCTTCCCTTTTGTGTGGAGGCATATTAAGCTGGGCCGTGTTATCCTGGCATAATCCTTGTTAAGTTCTTAATCGATTTGTGTCTGCTGTGAGCACACAGGGTGCGCCTTGAGTACGCTATAACTCGCTCATACTGCTCCCCTTCACCCCAGTGGACTTGACTCAATTACGCTTACGACACCGCAACGCTAAGGGCAAAGAGCAGTTGGTGGCTGCGGGCCGGAGTCAGGGGAACGGGCACCTTGAATTTCTCGCTCGATTCCCAATGACGTTGCGATATTTTCATAAATTATTTAAAGTATGTCAATATTTGTTTCGGTTGTTGTTGATGCCAATGATGATGGCGAGGCCGTTGATGAAAGGACGAATAGCAAGGACAGCCACAGCTACAGCTACGGGTACAGCTACAGCAACAGGATATACACATTTGGGGCTTCTTTATTGAACTTTAAATTAGTTTTATTTGGCCATCGCCCGCTTTCCCTCAAAAACAAACAACAAACTTAATTGTAAATGACAGCGAAATAAGATGAGAGGCAAACAAAAACAGAACACACAAAATATAAAACACACACAACGAAAAATAATAAAAGATACAAAATGGCGTTGCAATTTGTATAATAAGTCCTGTGCCCCCAACGATGAGTCCTGCAAAATGATAGCAACCAGCGCGTTAAATATAATGAAATAAGCTCATTAAAATGATGAGCCCTGAGCAGGTGGCGGTGCGCAGAGATCACAGGGTATACACGAGCTCGTAGGCTGCGATTTAGAGATGTGCGTAAATGCAAAAAGCGAAAAAACAAAAATGAAAACGACTTACTTTGGCTTAGCACGACTTAAAATTGCTCAAGACGACCTATTGCCAAGTATATTGCGATTTATGATAACCATTTTATTGTTCTGTTAAGCTTGCCTTAAAAGAGAACGCTTTTAATAACCACCCTGCTCCGAGTCTTAATTTTGCTTATGAAGGTACAATTTTTCTTGGCTTAAAAGTTTATATATTTTCGTCTGATGCCTCTTTTGCATTTGAAGGTTTTAAACTCAATTTGAAAATGACATTTGATACTTGGCTTTCGGCTAAGAGGTTAACCAATTTCCTAGATTTTCAATTAAAAATTATACTTAATCCACTTAAGTAATTTCTCTGTCTACGGATTCTGATCATAAAGATCAATCTCATATCTCTACTTTTTTCTACAATTTCTACTTTCTTTCACTCCTCACATCCTATTAATTGTTGAAGCTTCTTTGCTGTATTCAGTTACTTTTTTCTTAATTCCATCCTCTGCTCCTTTGAGCGTAACCTACGAAATCCAAAAATTTGGCTCGTGCTCAATCTCGCGTCCATCTCTAGCTGTGATTGCCTGCTGTTAAAGGTTGCCATGGCATTTGGCTGGCTATTTGCTTCATCAATCAGCCCTGGACCAAGGACTGAGTCCTGAGGCTGGCGCAGTGTCAACTTTAAGTTAATTATGAAAGTTTTTCGCTTGATTGATTCTCGCACTCATTGCCAACGAATCGGAGAGAGAGAGAGAGAGACAGAGAGAGAGGGACGACGAATGAGAGAGAGATTGGAGAGGACACTAAGAAATCAGAAAAAAGATTCACTTGCTTATGCACTGGAGCGTGTAATCCGGTCATGTTGCTGCCCCACGGCTGACTGTGATTGACATCAGGCACTTAACGCATTTTTCTGCGCCCCCAAAAGTAGACACCAGCTCCAGCTAACACGCCCCCATCAGCACATTTCGCTGCCTACTTGTTGTGTGGGCGCCCTGCGGCCGCTGCTAATGAGCCGCAAGTGCGCAACAGCTGAGCAGCAGCCGCATGAGTTGGCAGTGAATGTGAAATCGTATCTACCAGTGTTGCCAACTGTTGCGAAAGTGAGCCAGCTGAGCTAATTTGTATTGCTTGACGCGTTGCAATTCGCAACCAGTTTTAGTTTGCTAAAAGGTCGACAAGTTTATTATTCAAAGTTTGTTAATGATTTAAGCTGTTGTTGCTTGAAACTTTCTTTTATGTGGCTATTAGTGCCAAGATTTTATATTGAAACTGGGATTCTTTATTTTTAAACCGAAGTGTTATATAACTTCGATATATTTCATTAAATTATCCATTAAACTCCCCACCCAAAGTAAAACACCGGGTTACAAAATTTTGTGGCTTTGTCCTTTATAATGCTTATATAGTTTGTGTTTGACAGAGACAGATATAGAGACAGAGACAGAGACAGATCACAACAGTAAAAAATTGCATTTGATCTCCATGTTAAGTTCGCTTCGAAAAGTTTATTTTTGTAACTTTCTGCAGACTCAGCTTTGTGACATCAGCACATTTCCTTCAATTTATTTTAGTTCTGCCATATTTCATTTTTGATTTCATTAAACACTATGCAACAAATTCGTTGAAAGTTATGTAGCTTAAGCGCTTTGGAAATTGACAGTAAACTGCGCTACGAAAAAAATTGTATTTCAGAGTTTTTGGTAATTGCATAATTTTGATTAAGTTATGCAAGTTGTCAAAAGTTTTACTTGTTGCATAGTGTGCAGTGGAAAAATATATATGTATATACAGTTATGCCTTTGGCTGAGTTCGGATGGACAGCGAGAAGCGAATAGATTTGCGCAGCGTGATTTGAGATGTGGGCCATAAGATTTCGTTGGGTGGAAAAGTACTCTTAAAATCAATTTCAATTGCGATAAAAATTGTACTTGTTGCTACGCTTCTGCCTTTGTTCTCCTGCGCTAAGCTGATTAAAGGATTAGAACTGAAGGAAGCAATTAAAGTAGCATATAACTTTTTCTTGTTTATTTGAATGTCTTTAAAATGTGCTGAGCACAGCAAGTTTAATGGTTCTTCAATCAGAACAGTAGAGTTTACTTCTTATCGCGCTTCTCCCTTCTGTTACTTTTTTTCCATGTGCCTTGCAAAACTTTTTCAAACGCCTTTTCTTAGGTTATTCTCTTCTTTCTTCAGTGTTCCTTTCACTGCGCTTCGACACCCTCTTTTGCTTCTCTTTACTTCTTCATTTAGCGCTACGCTTCTCGCTTCCACTCTGACCTCAGCCTTGAGGCTCTTTCGATAGCGCGATATATACTAGATTAATTAATTGAATGCTTAGATAAATGTTCAAAGGTTGTTTTCAGTTTTACACAAATACATATATGTATATGTACATATATTGTAAGAGTACACAATAAATTCGGTGGGCATTTAGTTAGCTTTGATTTGAATTTATGCTTAGCGAGAGAGTTTTTCTTTTTGCGTAAATCAAATTTAAAGCCGCCGCTTGGGACGTCACACGCAGCGTATGCGCGATGCAGATTGCGTATACGCCTTGTTTGTTCATATATTTATATGGTATTTTTTTTTGCTCTTTTTTTATTTCGTTGAGTTTTTAGGTTTTAGCGCTGCTTTTGTGTGTGTTTGTGTTGTGGTTGTTGTCGTTGCTTTTTGTTGCGCACTTTGCCAACTGCTGCAAATTAAAAGTTGGGCCAAGCGAAACTTTTTATTTTCATATTTTCATTTTCAGCTGCAGTCGAATCAACATTAAAGTTGAGCCAGTGCATTTGTGTGTGTGTTTGTGTGATTGTCTGCCAAATGATAAAGTGCACTTGAGAAAGCTGTGAGTGAAGGTTAAACAAAGCCAAAGTCCTGGCTAGTCCTGTGGCAAGCAGCTGCTCGTTAGCTCCATATACAATGTGCGAATACGAAAATAGTTAAATGTGTGTGTGTCTATATGTGTGTTAGTTAAAGTACTTACAAATAGAACTCTGACTTACGTATATATATATATATATATTTATATTTAAGCGCATGAGTTAAGAGGATAGAAAGACAGCAGGCAGCCGCAGTGTAAATATTTTTCTTAAACATTTCGCATTAGATATTCTAAAAGAGAGGTACATAAATATATGTATGTATATATAGATATATATATATAGAGTTTTTCCATTTGATTATTTTTTTTTATACTAAATTCAGTAACATTTTAGGCTTAGTTAATAAACAACAGTCAACATTTAACAGTCATTCCGATATGAGTTTCATTTGCATTTGTATTTTGTTTGCTTGGAAGAGATTTTATTTTGTGTGTGTTTGTGTGTGTGTGTGTCTTTTGGTAGCTTACCAAGTTTCAAGTAAATTTTGATAAAGTTGGCGCTCTTTTTGAAAATATACATATATAATTATATGCCTTAAGCTTGTCGTCTAAGTACTCAAAGGAGCCTTAATCATAAATATACAGTTTAGTTAAACACACATCTAACAATGTAAATTTTCTTAAAACACATTCATATAAGTACTTAAATATTTCTGCAGGATTATAGTTGAAGCATATTTTTGTTTTTTGTTTTTTTTTTTAAGAAAAAAAATTGACAGCACATTATTGAATTAAAGATTTTTGTCTTGCATCGGAACACATAGAAATATACAATTATATTTAATTATATTGTATGTATATGTGTGCGAGATCTAACAATACTCCCCACCAGAACCCATCTTGCAAAATTCTTAATGCCACGCGTCGCGTCTGCTTCTGGCTGTTATCAGCTCTGGCACCAAAAAGTAGGTGCGCTCGGGGCTATGCCAAGGCCAGACGCTCGAACTGGCGATAACTGCTGCCTGCTGCTGTCTGGGTCTAACTGGCAAACCAATCAAAACATCCGCTATAAACAAAACGCTACAATCGCCAAATCGGGGGCCTGACCGCACCAGCCAAATGCCACTGACTGGGGCCTTGTACGAACAACGCGTCTGTGATAAGTTTTTAAAGGTATAAAATATCGAAATTATACTGCAATCTGTTTAAACCTAACCTTAGGTCAGCTAATCTAGTTTCCTTTTAGGCCATGTCCCTGTCAAAATTCATGTGACTTGACCATAGATTACGCTGCTTTAATTCAGCTCTACTTACGCCTTCTTTACAGTAATAAAAGTCAATATAAGTTAACTAGAATATACTCTAGATTCAGAGCGTGGGTCGTTTAGTGCCCTTCTAATATGCCTATGTCAAAGTTTATCTAAATGACCTACAAGCTAAAGCCAACTCATCTAATACCTATCTGACTCCTGCCAAGTTCACCTTTGTTAATCAGTAGTTATTCCATTTTCTTAACCAAGCTTATCTAGAGCAATTTCCCCTAAGTTCTTGTCAGTTGACCAGAAGCTTGGCGAGTTTTAGACCAGCTCATTAACAGTCAATTTAACGTATGACAAAGTCCATGTTAGTTACCTTCATTTTCTAAAATGAGCTTAGTTGACATACGTTAATATATTATCCTGTCAAAGTTCAGGTCAGTTGACCAAAAGCTTACCACAAATTTACCCAAATTTTCTCATGCTTTTTGTTTTTTTTTTAAGCTTTACATCATTTTGCACATGTTTCTGTCAATTCAATGTAAGCTGTTTAAAAATAAAAGCAGCGTAAGCCCAGTTTACTTCAAAGCTTAAGTTGACTAGCAGTTATCCCAGAATTTCAATTAGGCTTAACCTGAATTAATTTTCTCATTTGCCTGCCAACGTTAATGCTTGTTGTTAATCCCAACCCACAAATCAATTAACGGCAAGCTGAGAAAACGGAATCTATTTTGAGAATATGCCCAAGTAATTGTCAACTTTGACAAGCACATGAGAAACGAGCCCAAATATTATGGCAAATACTACCAATTGTCTGCAACGTGTTTTATAACATTTTCTGCTCAACACCTGTTCTCAACTTTAACACACAACCCGCACATATACATACATATACTATAGGTCTATATCGTACACAAATTGGCTGTAACATATTTTGTTTTTCTTGTCTCAACATTCATAATAATTTGTATATGTTTATAATACTCGTAAAAACGCCTTTAAAAAGAGAACATCAAAACATGCAAGCTGAGCAATGGCTATATAATACGAATATATATATGGTTTATATGGTATATATGGGCTTTATAGGGAGCTTGTATACATATATTTATTTTTATGTATACTTTTATATTTTTAAATGCTAGCAAAATAATTTTTTGTTTAGCTCTGTTTATGATTATTATTTTCTTTTTTCGGCTATTGATTTGTTGCGCCTGCTTGTTGGGGGAATTTTCTCTTTCAAATTTTCCAAGTTTTTTACAGCACATGAAGATTTTCACAGCTTTTGGATTTGGAAATGTCGCTAAGGCAAATTTTTTGTAGGATTTCCTTTGCCAGATGCAGCGAAATGTGAGTGCGTGAGGTTTTCATCTTCGATGAGGTAGCTTTCTTCTCGCGCGTCTCCTTTAGCCGCATCTGCAAATGTAATATGAGTATCGAAAAGTTGTAGCCCCTCGCTCGATGGCCCAGTTTTAATAACATTAACGTGTCTGTCTAGCCGGCTCGACTCAGTTTTCATTAATTAGTGAACCGATGCGAAAGGCTGTACCACTAAACCACTAAACCAACACCCGAACGCCATTCGCTCTGCCGCTCACCACAAATCCATTTAAGTTATTTCCTGCACAATTTTCGCATGCATCAATGAGTTGCGTGTATTTCGCACCTAAACCGGAATAACCGCAAAGCCGATCCAACCCTGAACTGAGCTCCAATCCAACCCCCTCTGCGCTTACCTGCTTCAGTATACCGACGAGCAGCTCATCGACATTGTGCTGTATGCCGCTGGACGTCTCAATAAATTTGGCATCGCGTGAGGCGGCCAATGTTTTGCCCTCTGTGGCCAAAAGTGAAACATGAAATATGAAATGAGAAATGAGAAATCATAATTAAGTCGTGGGATTTCCGTTACAGCCCTACCTAGGCTTACCCTACTTGCTAGAGATGGGTGCGTGTTGGTGGGAGTTGTTCGAGTTATACAATATTTAGCTCGAATTGAACTTAAGCGAAATATTACCAAATATTTACATTTGCATTTCCTGTTTAATCTGCTTATACTCTTTATACTCAGTATAAATATTTTTCAATATATTTGAGTATACTCTTCAATACTCTTTAATACTCACAAGTACCTTAATTAGACTTCAATACTCATTAGTACTCAAAAATAAAATATTCATCATTACTCAAAATAAACCATGGAACAGTTTTCAATACTCATCCATACTCTAAATATATGCCATCTCTATTTATACTTACGATATTCATCATTATTTATATTTACCCTAAAATATATGCTATACTTTTTACATATTCTCAATACTCATGAGTATTGAAGAAACTTGTCAGTACTCATTAATACCCATCAGTTTACTTGCTTGTATAGGTATATTTTATATTTTCCTTGCATTTCATTTCAAAGTGTCGTGTTTTATCGTATCGTGTGCCATCTCCATTTACAATGCGCCCAAACCCAATAACTCACCCTGTGTCGTGATAAGCCGCGCACGAGCCAAGTCTGCCTTGTTGCCCACAAGTATGACCGCCTTATCCTTGGTGTAATTCTCCTGCCACAAATAGTTGATAATCTCCTCGGCGATGCGAAAGGAGCCCTTGTCCACCACAGAGAAGACCACCACGCAGCCATGCGGCTCATAGGTGGAGAGGGAATTCTCCACGCTCATCTCAACGCTGGGATGATCGATAAAAACCATGTCGGATTCCTCATCATCGAGCAGCACGCTGACCGTCTTCTCGCCGAACTCATCGTCTAAAACTCAGATCAGAATTAAACTCTATAGACGCAAGCGGAAACTAGCGGCATGGGATCGACTGTGGATCGTACGACACGCATAGGTTCCATCTAAGGGTAGCAGTAACTACTCACTCTGTGCACTCCGCCCCGATCAGCTCGACAGATGGCTAGACCGTCAAGAGTTATCAACTTACCTAGGCTCGCATCGTAGGTGTGCATATACTCCGAGGTCATGAATTGATTGACCAGCGCCGTTTTGCCCACGCCCGCATCGCCCAGCATGACGACACGATAGCGTGCCGGCGGTGGCGGCTCCATATTCTCCGATTCATCCGGCGAGGCGGGCAGCGAGTCCACGTTCGCATAGCCCGCACCACAGCAGCTGCCCTCAAACGGTGAACGTTCGCTGGCCCGACTGTTGGTGGAATTGACACTTGTGTTGCTGCGCGAACGGCGCGAAATTATCGAGTCCCCACAATTGACCACGTTGCCTTTGCTGATGGAGAAATGTCGCAGTCGATAGAGATCATCGCTGGCCCGTGGATTGTACGGGCGCTCCGGCAGCGAGCATACGCGCGGGCGTACATGATCGGGAACTGGTTGAGGGATTAGATTAGATTTGTTTTATTTAAAAAACAGTTCTTTCTTTTTGATTGACTGACTGACTGATTGAATGTATGAACTAGTTAGCCGTATCTTATACTCTACTTGACTTTTGTGATTTTAGTGTACACTTCATCCAATCATCATAAACTTATTATAGGAATATTCATTGGAGACGAGTCACCCCTTGTAAAAGATGGAAGGAAAGTAACATTGCGATCGTTTGCAACTGACACAAAATTAAATACGTTTTCACCCGTTTTCGCAAAATCACCCCTCCTAACGGAAAACACGCGGATAAGTCAGACTTTCCAAAGATCTTTGGCAAAATTTATTGTTTTTCCTCTATGGAATAGCCACTGGTAGGAATTGAGTTAGTAAATTTTAATTATTTCACGGCCAGAATATGACCCTGCCAAAGCTGAAAAATACCGATATATAAGAAGTGTTACCCACCTGGTAGCTCCAAAAAGTTGGAGGTGCGTCGCTGTCGTCCGCGATTGGAGCTCTGGAAGGCCAACGGTCCGATGTCATCGTTGGAGAAAATGGAAGTATTGGAGCAGGCGCTCTTCATGGACTCGCGTGAGCTGCGCCGACTGGCCAAGTAGGCAAGTCCACCCTTGGAGCTGCCCCTGCGCCGCGGCTTGTACTCGACCGCATCCCGCTTGGGCTTAGACGGCTTACAGCCGCTGAGCTCATGCTCGGCATCCTGGGTCAGGTCACTTGTAGATTTGCGATAGCGCAGCGAGACAACGCTGTCCGAGCAGGTGCGATCCAAGGTGGAGTGTGAGCTGTGCAGCACCTGATACCCTGGATTCGAGGTGATGTTAATGGCATGACGGCGCTGGCGATGCAGTTGATGCTGCTGCTGTTGCTGTTGTCCGCCGGCATCCGTGTCCGTGTAGCTGAAACTGGTGGTGGTGGTGGTGGTCACCAGCGTGCTGTTCGTGTGCTGTGTCTGGGTCTCTCCCGACTCCATTGACAGCTGTGTGCACTCTGTGACGCACGAGTCCCGCTTCAGGGTAAAATAGCTGCCGCTGTTGCCGCCACTTGAGTAGCCCGTGGATATACCTGCTGCTGCTGCCGCTGCCGTTGCATTCAGGCAACGTGCATCGATTTTCGTTATGACCGGCAGCTCCCATTCATCCCGCCGCCGCTTGCTGCTGCCTTGACTGGTGGTCAACTGCGGCCGCTGCTCCAGCTGCTGAGGCTGTGCCCGCATTAGCTTCTTGGAGCCCTGACGACGCGGCGAGCTGGGCGGCTCATAGTACAGCGAGCCATCGTCCGGCGATATGGGCTCATAATACTCGAATTTCTTGCCCAAGGCTGACTGATCCATGCCAGCGCCTGGACTGACCGCATCGAAAACAAATTTGCATGGCGATTTGGGACTGCGCGTCGCTTGACCGCTGAGCAGCGAACAGGAATCGTCCATGGAGCCCGAGGTGGGCGTCTGATAGTATGAGGAGGGCGTGGAGCTGCTTCCCTCATCGCAGCTGTCATTCGCATAGGTTGTCGTTATCTTCGGGCTGCGCGGCGGCGGCGGATCATAGCTGCCATAGGCATAGTTGCTACTTGACTGTGTGGGCGTGGCATAGACCGAGGGCGGCGCCGCATGGTAGCTTCTGTGTGGCAAGTCCAGTCTTAAATTGTTTCTTCAACTCCGAATTGCTCAACTCACCTGGGCGATTTGGGCGTGGCGCCTTTATACGGCAACGGATTGCTGGCCGCACGCGCTGGCGTCTTGTGTCCACCATGTGTGTGTGTGTGTGTATGTGTAGGTGTATGTCCATGAACGCCATAGCCCGTGCCGGCAGAGGCATCGCCGCCATCCCAGCTATGCTGCTGCTGTGCCATATTTACCAAATGCTGGCGAGGATTGGGCGTGGTTCTGCGAGGGTAGATTTACTGCGGCAGCTGCTGTAAGTTGAATGCCACTCATGTGTAAATATCATGGGCCATTACTCAACGCACACACGCACAACAACACACACAAACGCACACACACACACACACATGTAGTGGGCAAACATAATTTATGGTTTTATCTTTATTTAATAAAATAATGCAAACTAAAATAAAAACCAAAACTCATAAAACGGCTCCACTGAGTGGCACGCCACCCCCACCCCTTCCCTCTTCCCCCCACCCCTCCAATTGCTGTACACATTTTCAGCATTAAATGCCTCGCGGGCAGCACAGGCGTATGTGTTGTGCGTGTGTGTTTCGTGTGTCAGCAAATTGTTGTGAAATGTGCGTTCATCTCACTTTAAGTTGACAGCCCAAGTGGCCGTGGCTAGCCCCGAGACACCCACGCCCACAACACTCCAAGCCCGCCTGCCCCCTCACCACCTAACTGCCAGCCCCTCTTGCGGCTTGTATTGGTGGCCTGCATTAAGCCAAAAGGTTCGCGCTGCAAGCTTCCCAGCCATGTTGCATGCAACAGTTTCTCTTGCTGTGCGTTAAAAATTAATGCCTGTTATACCCTTTAGCACAAGGTAAATGGGTTAAATGGGGTATATTATTGTTGTGCTTGATATGCATATTTGTATAAATCGATAGATATCGATGTTTTTCCTCAGTATTTCTATTATATCGCGATGGTTTTCGTTGATGTTGATTCTCGTGTATCAAGAACAAGTTTATTCATTTATCTCTCCCCATATTTAATTAAAATTGTTAAATATCGAGTTCTCAGAATTGATTTTTTGATTACATTGCTTTGATACCTATCCAGGGTATGTGCTAGTTGAGCACACAGAACTAGAGCAGTCTTAGTTGCCGTTTTACTTGCTTTGGCTTCGCAATTTGCCAACTCACAACAGACCGCACACACCTACACACCTTTCACACACACACACACACACGCTGACACACACAGGCCAACTGTCACACACACCTGCCACACTCAACTTATTGTATTGGCTACAAAAGATTTGTTCGAGAACTTTTCTCAAGCACTTTGCAGCAGTTGCTTAACTTGAGTCGAGTCTGCGACTGACTCGAAGTCGGCTGCGTCTGCTGCTTTTGCCAAAGACTCAGGTGTAATAAGTTGCCCAGTTTCTTGCGGCATTACCTGGAAAAGTGTTGAGCATTTTGCAGTATGGCTGAAAGTTCTGGGGAGGGTAGCTGTCAACTGATTTTATTTTGATTGTAGCACCAAGTCGCCCATACAAGCTATTTGTACTATAGTTTTATGGCTGTCTGCTCCCCGGTGTCAATAAAAGCCAGCCTGAATGATTAAGCGTAGAGGGATTTACCAAAACGTACCCTGTAATTAGTTTTGGGGCTGCTTTAGTATATTATTGAGTTTGAGTCGTTTAAATAACATAGATAACATAATATTTCGATCAAATGTTTCTGCAAGACTTTGCTCAACCTTTTGCATCAGATCTTGTAAAGAGACATTACATAGACATGAATACATAGAACTCTTTACTACACAACTCTCTTATACCCCGTTTCACTAATTATGTTGTTTCAGGGTATGAAAGAGAAAAATAATAATAATATTAATCCTGGCATAAAATTGCCCCGTCACTTACATGAGCAAATCTAGTGTCTCATTTTATTGTCCAGCTCTAGTTCCAGCTGCTGTTCAGCTGCTTTGCTGTCCGCATGGCTCGTAACGTGAATCCCAACTGTTGCCATTCTCGTTTTTCGCACTGCTTTTGCAGCCACCTGACCCCCTCTCTGAAACTAACTTATCTATTGTCTGTGCCCTACACAAATAGCCGGACACCCACTCACTCGCCGCAGACACAGAGCCGTGAACACAAAGCGTGAATACGTGTTCATATTGTAAAGCAAATAATATGAATACGAATACGAATATAGTGAATATGTACGTACAAATGAGTATTTATATGGTACCTGTTGGTTTTTATACAGACTTAATATGGTTTCCACTGGGAGTGTATTACGCTTGGAATAGTTTTGTCATGTTTACGTTGTGCGAGATTAAATGCCTAAGAAGAAGCATGACAACACATATAAAACTGGGCTAAAATCTATTAAAGTTGCCAAAACGTTGATAAAAGCTGTTTCTGTTTCTGTTTCTACGTTTTTGTTTAATGCCAAAGTTGATCGATGTTTCGACTTGTGAGCTTCGCATACTCTCAAGAAATATTCATTTCTCGATTTTATATTTTATTTTGTCCAAAGCCTATCCAAAAAAATTTTTCCTATCGTGTAAAATTATTTTCCTTTCCCAAGTAATGCTCGTACTACGCCGACCTGCATGAGCAAGCTTTTGTACCCAGTTACAGGGTATTTCACAATAAATTTCTGCATTTTGTCAATCGTTAGCTCGGGAAACACGTAACCTGGCCTGTTGCCACCGCAACCAATCATAACCAGATAGACAGCAAGGGGCAGGTGGAAAGCAGTAGGAGGGTCAGGACTGCGACATAGATGGAATAATCATGAAAATGTTGAATAGAAAACAGTTCAGATTCGTTCAAGGCCAGCCAAACGCATGGACACAACACTTTTGGTTGTGCAAAATTCTGTGGACAGCCAACAGCAAATCAATGGGATAAAAACCATCCCAACTAAGCAGCTTCAGCTTTCAACTGTCTGCCAATAAAGCCGTGTGTCAACTCACATTCAACTGGTCTTCATTTTGGGTTTCTATTGGCATTATTTGTATTGTCTATGCATGAATGATAAATCTAAACCCAACCCCAACCAAAAGCTATCTCTCACAAAAGCTTCGGTTGTGGCTTATGGCATTGTATTTTATGCATTGAATTTGAAAAAATTTTAACTAGAAAAGGCAGCAGCCGAGAAATTCAAGAAGTAAAAGCTTATGCATGACAATAAATTTAAGATAATTTCTGTTCGATACTTGGCTTTAACTGTAAAGGCTAATTCGCTCAATCAATTGGTCAATCAGTCAATCAGATTGCCTTTGATGCTTGAAAGACAAAGTTAGAGTTAAATAATTTATGAAATGTCGAGTGAAGCAACAAATTGGTGTAAGCCCCAAACTTTGAAGGGTTATACAGTAAAACTGCGCTATAATGACCTTGAATATATTATATACTCTTTTCTAGTCTATTTTGTTACTAGCGAAATTGAATACAGTAGTACTTCCCTAAGATGAACTTGTTGCTCAGCCCAATAATTCATTAAGATTAATATTGTACAGGCTAACTTGAAAATAACGTACTATAAGCAATAGTAACGATTTGTCTATTCAGTTTAAGTATTTGTACAGTGATACTTCTTTAAAGCGAACCAGAAGAGCATACCAAATATTGGTATCAGAGAAATCTTGCACTGCAATGACTTCCTCGGAAAAAAACTATACAACACATTTGTGCAGTCTTAGTTCTCTAAAGTAAACTGAAATGAGCAAATGAAGGCTTTAAAAACATTTCGTCATTTAAAAATTTGTGCTGTGAAACTTTACAATTACAAACTTAAAGAAGGCCTTGAAACATTTTGTAATAGCCCAACGACTCTTGAAGAGTTCCAACGATTTTCTGTGATAAAAAAAGCAGACCTAAACTGCCAAAAGTTTCGAAACATCCCTAAAGTCCACTTAAGAGGCTTCAACAAATTTCTGTGATACAAAATAAAAATATAGCAAAAACTCTCAAAGTTCCTTTTAATCTGAAAAAGTAGTTATGCAGGGCTAAAAACGTTTTTTCTTATTTACATTTAACAATCTAGTGACAGCATCAAAATTCTGCTTTGGCATTTGGTAGCAATGTTTTTTTCTTAGAAAAAATATAAATACAAAATAAATTTGAATAATTTGTATTGTACTGTTTCGTAGAAATTGCTGAAATCTATTTAAATGCTGCGAGCTTTTTCCCATGAAGTGATAGCAGAATGTCAAAGAATATTGTGCAGTGACATAATCAAATGATTTATGTAGAGAAGAAGAAAAGCTAACTCAAATGCCTGAACTATGGAAACGAAAACTGCTTTTACAATTACCCAGCTCTTACAGACAGGTTTGTTGTAATGTAGCTCGACTGTATTAGGATGTTATGCACACATTCGATCGGAATAACCTGAGGGTCAAACCGACTAAAACTGATTTGATTTAGCGTACGATTTGTGTGGGTAGAAAAAGCAGCCGCATGAGGGCGAAAAAAAGGGTGAGCACGAAAAGGATTTGCATATTTGAAAGACTCGACTGAATTGACAATGTAATTTGTGTGAGTATTACGCGTGCGAAATAAAATAGTTGGCTAGCAGTCATCAAAAAAAAGTTCAAATGTCTGTGACCTCCAGCGCAAACTTTGCGTCTGCTGCCTTATGAATGTCAAGTCCCACATCCCTATTAACATCCTCGGGTGTAATGAACTCAAGTGCATTTCTTGCAGCTATTAAATTGTGGTTACGCATACACTCAGAGAAAATGAGGGAAGAATATAAATTTAAGCTGAAGCTTAAACTATAAGTTTAAACTTTGATCGACAAGTTCAACATTTCTTGAGAAAATGTCCTAATACAATGCCCAGATACAGTACTTAGTCTAAGCGAAGTGTTGCCCTCAAATTGATCTTGTTTAAGCTTATTTCACGACAGCAAATTCTTCAAAATTGTTTGTCCTTTTCTACATACAATACTCAAAGACTCAATTGAAGCCTTTTCCCACTTTAATTAAGAATTGTAATAATTGTTCACTTAACGTTTTATTCTTATTTATTAATGTCTCAGTGTGTGATTTGAAATCTTGTATACCTTTAACCTTTAAGAAGAAGTCTGCTTAAAATACTGCAAATTCCTCAGAATTGTCTGTCCTATTCTAGATATAAATCTTATAGACTCAATTGAAGCCATTGCCTACTTTAATTGAGAATTGAAATAATTGTTCGTTAACCTAATCTTAACATTTTATTCTTATTTCTTAATGTCCAAATGTGTGATTTGAAATCTTGTAAACTTTTAACCTAATCCAAGAAGAAGTCGGCTTAAGACTTGTATAGAAAAACTATATGATATATAATTTCTCTGAGTGCATAGCCCCTACTTTAGCTCCCACTTTAGCTGGTATTTTGTGGTCTTTCCTGGACAACCCTTTTAGTAAACTTTGCTTAATTACATGCCCGCACCCGTTAAGCACATATTTAACACCCACACACACACATTAGGCAAACGTAAATATTTTCTCAGCAGCCACACAATGCTGTAGCTGCTGCTGCCCCCCTTTAACGCACGCCTCTGCACCCAATGCCAAGCTCTGACCAGCACTTGGCTGCAGAATTAGCGTTTGTTGTAAAAATAAATGCGTATGCATGTCAGTGCGCTTGTGTGTGTGTGATAGTGTGTGTGATAGTGTGTGTCTGTCTGTGTGTGCGAAGTGTATGGCTAAAGCATAAACAAGGAAAGTCCATAAAACACTTAGGATCACACAATATACCAGAGACGTCAGGAAAATGTAGCCTATTTAGCGGCGCCCTGTGCGGTGCGCTTTGCGGTTGAAGCGGTCTCTGGTCAGCTGCTCGGTTCAAATTATAATTGTGGGCCAAAAGTCACGTTCAGAAACTTAGTTATTAGAGCAGCCCTCATGCCGCCGGCCCGCTGCCCTTAGCTGTCCCCCCGGCGTAGGCAATCGATTTTATTGCCACACATAATTCTTGGCGCGCGCCATTTGCGCAAATCTCATGTTGATGGCATATTAAGTGAGGAGCAGTTCCTTTCGCCGGCCAATTTGCTTTTAAATGCGTCATTTGCGGACTGCCAAGGGAGGGAGGGGAAAAGCGGGGGTATGGCAGTGACAGGTGGGCAACGTTTTGTGGCAATTTACGTGTAATTAGACGCGTCTGGCGTCAAAGTTGGGCGCGAGGATTAGCAATTAAGCGAGTGTCCTGTGTACGAGGCACAGGCGCAACAAGTGCCAACAGGCACAACACGCATAATCCCAGCGTAAAACACACACCGACACACACAGACACACAGATAGACAGACATACAAACACACACAAACAGACATTCACACAGAGAGGCAGATGAAACGTGCCTGTGTTGGTAAGAGGCAGCGCATAAATCAACATGTCAAATCGCAGCTTAGCAGCATTCACACTCACACACACACAGAAACACAGCACACATAACTGTACAACTGTTGAAACCATCTTTAATTTTTACCATTTTTTTTAAAATCAATTTTCTTTTAATTTCTTCAATTTTCTGCAAATACCGCTTGTTCTTAATTTCCCGAATTTAATTTTCTAATTGTCTTAATTGCGTTGCGACACTCCGAAAACCACGCGTGAAGCCAAGCAACAGTTTGCACAGTTTTTGTTGTTGTTGTTGTTGCTGTTGGCTGCTGCGCTGCACTTCCGTTTCCGCTTGAACGCGCGCTACAACTGGTGCCGCTTGCTGGCTGCCGAGAATATGGCCCGACCGAGCGCGCACGCAGCTCGAGCTGAACTGTGGCATGCCACGCGCCTCGGCTGCATTTTTGTTGCTGGCCAAATAAAGCTTTCGCTCAGCCACAACCACAACACAAATAAAGCTCACTTCCAGCCTGGAAATCCTTCACTTGTTGAGAGCACTTTTCAAAAATTCTGTTTTCGTTTTTTGCCTTTGGTTTGCGGTTCAAAGTATTGCTTAAAATTATGTAAATATATTAAAGCATACATTTTCGTGCACATCTGATTTTATATTTGTAATTAAAGAGTTTTCTCTTCTATTACTAATTAGACTCAATAATGGCTTTATGTAGTTGGGCTTAAGGGAATATATTTTGTATTTTGTTTAAGTATTTTGGTGGTAAATTTGACTGATTCTTTTTAATGAGCTGTTGCCTAAGTTTCTAGTTAACGTTAAGTTAAATAACATTCTTTGAATTTAATATAATTAATATTTTCTGCTGTTTTTTTGTTGTGCTTTTTCTGCTATGAGTCTGAACTTAAAATCTATGAAGAATTAAAGTTCAATTTTGTTTTAAATTAGACTTTTTTTTTTCGTTTTTTATGTGAACTTAAAATCGCAGGAGAATAAAAGCTCAATTTTGTTTTAAATTAAAGCACTTTTTAAGAATGCTTTTTTGTTGCTGGTTCTTCCAGAATCTTAAGCTTAATCTTTCGATTTAGGTGTTAGTGGGGTCTTTTAAAAAAATTATAAAAAATAAAAAAATATTATTATAACAAATCACATAATTATTTGTTTGGCTGGCTCGAGTGCACTTCGGTAACTGTCTTCAGGGCAATTGTTGTCACACGTCTGCGACCCAATAAAGTATATATATTCTTGATCAGCATCAATAGCCGAGTCGATCTAGCCATGTCCGTCTGTCTGTCTGTCCGTCTGTCCGTATGTATGAACGCAAGGATCTCAGAACCTATAAGAGCTAGAGACTTGAAATTTTAGCTGTAGGTCCTCCTAGTCCCCGCGCAGATCGTTTGTTTCCGATATTCGATAACTTGCCCCGTTTCCAAGTAATCGATAAAAATCGATATCGAAATCCTGTTTTTGAGCAATTTCGGCAAATAATATGAGCTAGAGTCACCAAACTTGACATGTAGCTTCTAGAATAGTATATATATATCAAGTATTTTTCATTTTATACCTATCGCCTGTTGGAAGAAGAGGGTTTAGGGTATCCCCTAGTCGGGAGCTCCCGACTAGAACCTCTTACTTGTTTTTCCTTTTTCTTTGAAATCTTTTTTTTTTTTTATGTGAACATAAAATCTTAGAGGTGAATTTCTTTTAAAATCATTTTTGTTTTGTAACTGATCTACGCATACCCAATACTGTAAATCCTAGACAGCAAAAGTTTTTGCAGTAGACATATTTTATGATATTATTATTAAAATTTTGTTTAGTTTGTTCAAATATTTCCTTTAAGTTTACAGGTTATTTTGTGTTATATGCTTTTCAAAAAAGTAGAGAAAGGAATGCAGCTCGGTTTTGTGATATAATATTTTGGTTTTATTAGAATTATATGTTTTTCATTTTTGTTTTCTTCATCATTTGTTTTCTTCTTTTATACAGATCTTAACATAAGACTTAAGGCTATACACTTATATAATAAATAGTTTTGGAAGTCTGCGGCTTAAATTCTAGAGAAACGACTAAGTGAAAAAATAAATTGTTAGCATAGTCTTCGGGTTATACAGAGTATATATGTTGGTATTTGTGGGCGGGGTTATAGGTTATATGTTAGCAGGTTTCGTGGGATAGGTTTGCTTAGGTTTATAGGTGGTGCAAGGCGGGTAAAGATGCGTGTTTGTGTGCGTGCGTGCGGGTGAAAGATTTGTGATAAATTCTCTGCTGGGCAACTGCATTTACAAGTCGGCAACGAGTGCTTTCAGCTTTTCCAGTTCCGCATAGATGCTGGCAGGCAGATCAGCGCCCACTTGCGTCTCAAAGTAGTTGCGTATAGCCTCCACCTCCTGTGTCCAGAACTCCTTGGGTAGCGAGAACAGCTGCTTCACATCGATCTGCTCCTTCATGCCAGCCAAGTTGAGTTCACCAGCGGCGGGTATGCGGCCAATAGCGGACTCCACGTAACAGGGTTCACCATTGACACGGCGCAGGATCCAATCAAGCACACGAGAGTTCTCTCCGTATCCGGGCCACATGAATTTGCCCTCGTCACTCTTGCGGAACCAGTTGACATGGAAGATCTTGGGCACCTGGCCGCGCTTCTCCATGCTCAGCCAATGGGCCACATAGTCGCCAAAGTTGTAGCCAAAGAAGGGACGCATTGCGAAGGGATCGTGCATGATCACCTTGCCCTTGTGCTCAGCCGCGGCTGTCGACTCACTGCGCATGGCAGCGCCAATGAAGACACCATGTGTCCAGTCGCGAGCCTCATAAATCAAGGGCACGCCAGCTGGGCGACGACCGCCGAAGAGCATGGCAGAGATGGGCACGCCAGCTGGATCCTCCCAGGCGCCATCGATAATGGGGCACTGGGCGGCCGGAGTGCAGAAGCGGGAGTTGGGATGAGCAGCTGGTTTGCCCGATTCCTTGGTCCAGGGCTTGCCCAACCAATCGGTGATCTGTACATTGGGAGCCAGACTGCTCTCCATGCCCTCCCAGTAGACGCCGCCATCTGAAGTGGAGGCCACATTGGTGAAGATGGTGTTCTTGAAGACGGTGTTCATGGCAATGGGATTGGTCTCCACGGAGGTGCCGGGTGCAACGCCAAAGAAGCCATTCTCGGGATTGATGGCACGCAGCACACCCTGTGAGTCGAACTTCATCCAGGCGATGTCATCGCCCACGCACTCCACCTTGTAGTTAGACAGGGAGGGGTTCAACATGGCCAGATTGGTCTTGCCGCAGGCCGAGGGGAAGGCGGCAGTGATGTACCTCTTGACGCCCTTGGGATCGGTGATGCCCAGGATGAGCATGTGCTCGGCCAGCCAGCCCTCCCGCTTGGCAATGGTGCTACCAATGCGCAGAGCGAAGCACTTCTTGCCCAGCAGCGAGTTGCCGCCATAGCCGGAGCCATAAGAGACAATCAGATTCTCGGCGGGCTTGTGCAAGATGATGGTGCGCTCGGGATCGCAGGGCCAGGAAGGCTGCTCCACTACACCACTGGCTGGTGTGCCCACGGAGTGCAAGGCGCGCACGAACTCCTCCTTTTTGGCTAGCTGCTGGAGCACAGAAGCGCCCATGCGGGTCATGATGCGCATGGAAGCGACCACATAAGCGGAGTCGGTGACCTCAATGCCGATCTTGGAGAGTGGCGAACCCACTGGACCCATGCTGAAGGGTACCACATACATGGTGCGACCCTTCATGCAGCCAGGGAAGCGCTGCTGAATAGCGGCCTCCATATCCAGAGGGGAAATCCAGTTGCCCAGGGTACCCTTGACGCCGTCCTTGGGAGTGGGTATGGTCTCCTCGCGTGTCTCGGTGCAGATGAATGTCTTGGACTCCACGCGGGCCACATCACCAGGATTGGTCCTGGCCAGCCAGCAGTTCTCGTACTTGGGCAAAGCCACAATGGTGCCCGACTCCAGCAGCGTCTTGATGAGCATCTTGTTCTCCTGCTCGGAGCCATCGCAAATGTGCACCTGATCGGGCTGGCACAGAGCAACTGCTTCCTCTACAAAGCTGCGCACGCCGGCAGTCAAGGAGCTAACATCGCCATACGAGGTGGGAATGCCACGAATGTGGCTGTACAGGCCACAATTATCCTGGCGCAGCTTGTGCAGCTGGGGCAGACCGCAGCCATTGGCGGAGCTGTAAGTAGAAGATAGGGAATTTATGAGTAAAAGTTGCAGAAGAAGGCAGTGGGTCAGTGGCGTGAAAAATGTGATCTTTTGGAAGTTGGGAAAAAAAGGTAGAGCTAGTATTGAAAGTTTTATAGAGTTCAGAGGATGGAGATTTCATGTGTGTGGCTTATTTGTAAGTTTAAAACATCTGTAAATTGATTTTCAATTTCACACTAAAAGATGTTTAAAATATTTAGTCAAAAAAAATAGCTCGGGGAAACGACGAATAAAAAAACCATTAATTTGTAAAGCAAAATTAGTAAATCCGATTTCAAAGAATTGTTTCTGGACTTCACAAAAAACGTATTTTAAATATTTTTCGTAAAATTCTTTTGTTTTTAATCTTTTCTATAAACAAATTTTTTTTTTTCTTTCTAAGGAACAAAAAAGCTTTAGGCATTTCCGAAAATTTTGGTTTTCAAGAAATTTCTTTTAATATGCACAAAACATATTTTTAATATTTGTTTAGCTCTTTTTTTGCACATTAAAATAATTCAAAGAATTCACTTTTTTTGCAATGAAAAGTTTGTGTTTTGTTAAAAATACTTTTTGGGGGCATGCAACATCTAGAGGTTTCTGGGTGTGGTGATGTTTATGTATGTTTGGACTTTTTTTCTTGCTGCTCGTACAACTAGTACTTACATAATTTTGCTTTGTTCAATAAGCTCAGGCATTTTGTTGTAGTTTTTTTAAATTAATATTTATAAAATTATTTTCTTTCAAAGTCTTTGGAATATGGCGCACAAATTAAGTTTTGATTTTGCGTTTGGATTTGGCAAAAAACAATGAAATTTGTCAAATATCACAATTTAATTATCACAATTTGTATTATAGTTTTGTTTTTTATTTAGCTCAGTTGGTTTTTGTGTGTGCTTTCATATGTTCCTCCAGAGTTTTTTGTCAAAAATCAATTTGATTTTCAGATCACTGAAATTAAATGTTTCACTTGATCTTTCCATTTACTCAGTCCACGAGTAACTGATGCCAACTGCTCGCTGCAGTCGGCCTTTTATACGCTCCGCAGCGGCAACGCCGCTGGTGACTGCCCGATGCGACTAGAACATGATTAACGGGGGCCGCACGATCGGCTGTCGTTCGGCTGCGTCTTCGGCTCGGCTCGGCTCGGCACTTGTTTCGCTTTGTTTTTATGAGTAGCGCGCGCGCGCCTCAGGTCAA